CAGCGCCGACCGGCACGGGTCACGAGCCCCATTCCTCCGTCTCCGACCCATAAACTAACGCTCTTAACGCTCAGGGCAATCCTTGACCTCAAGAACCAGCGAGACAAGCTCCACCAATATCAGAAGCGAATAACCGTCTTGACAGACCGCGAAACCGACATCGCGAAACAATGTCTCGCCAGGAATGACCGTAAGCGCGCCCTGCTTGCCCTGCGTCGCAAGAAGTATCAGGAGTCGCTGCTAGATAAGACCGACAAACAACTCGAGCAGCTCGAACAGCTTACGGGGCAGATTGAATTCGCGCTGGTTCAGAAAGATGTTCTTTTCGGCTTGCAGCAAGGGACCAAGGTCCTGCAGACCATTAACAAGGAGATGGGTGGCCTTGAGGGGGTGGAGAAACTGATGGGCGAGACGGAGGAAGCGAGAGCCTATCAAGAGGTAAGCTTCTATTGCCAATGGTTATCTGAGAAGGGTATTCTGGATTGGATGCTGACTAGTTGGTGGTGGTTGTACAGGAAATCAGCGAGATGCTTGCTGGACGCTTGTCCACTCAGGATGAGGATGAGGTCGAAGAGGAACTGGAGGCTTTGCAGCGGGATACGCAGGGCCCGGTTGTCTTGCCGAATGCGCCCAGCTCTAAGCTCCCAGAGCACGTGGAGGGAGTCAAGGAGGACGAGCATGCCGCGGAAGAAGAGGCCCAAGTCGAGGAGCGGACTGCTATTCTTGCTTGAGACTGTGCCATCCACATGATCTCTTTATTTCGATATTAGCATTGCCGGCGTTGGTGGTTTCCAGGAAATTCAAGTATAGTATAGCATTGTTAGATACGTTTCGCTATTTGAACGCTAGCAACTAGACCGTCGAAACATGGATTGGCGTGCATTATCTTGATAGAGCCCAGCTCAATACCCAAGGCAGTATCCGTAGCTTCTGATCAATTATTCCAGTCTGTCACAGACCTCATACATTCCAGACCAACATATGGCCGCCCCATGTTCAAACAAATACTGAAATCCGATCCATATTACTCCCGCTCACAGGATCCGGCTCCCCACCCCATTTACACCCTGGATAGCAACATGATCACCCGGATTTGCGGCCGCCTCATACAAGAAACTGATCGGCTCCCTATTCAGTGCCATGAATTGTCCCTTGAAACCAATATACCCGACCTTGGTGACGTCTTCTTCCCCATCGCTCCAGTTATCCTCGAAGAACAGAGTGATGGAGGTAGTCGCATTCCAATGCGCCCGGTTCAGCGGTAACTCGAAAACATCTGCGCCCGGCATAGGTTGGGGTATCTCGACTGTCTGCGTCGGCTTCAGGTCCGAAGCTGTTCCGAAGTCCAGGTCGTCGCGATTCTTGAATAGCTTTAGGGTCTTCGGGGCAGATGGGGTGGGAGCGGTGTATATAAGGAGGGAGTGAACTTTAACTTGGTCGGTGAATCTGGAATTCTTTAAATTAGCAGCTATTTCATGGATAAGATGGTGGTTGTGGTGTAAAAGACTTTTGAATGTTGGGTTTGCGACAAGAAGCTGAGATGAGGGGCATTTGGCGGGGTAAAAAACCACATCACAAACAGCAAATCCGGTCGATAACCACGACGGTATGAAGGGGTATAACATACGGAATATACATCAACAGCTGTTCGTCTGCGTCGCTTTCCAGCTCGGGCTCATCGTCGAGCCTTTCGGCCCATGTTTTCTTGACAATCGCGGCGCCGGACTTGGGACTGGCCTCTGCAGGTGGGACCCCGGGTTAGCTTGCACACACGGCTTGCAGAAGAGGTTAATATCGCGTTTTGCCTACCGTTTAATGTAGTGATCGAGTCAAACTGGATTTGAGAGTAGAGGAGAGATTGAATTGCGGGGGTGATGTCGTTGGAATGATCATGGCCGTCTTCTCCGTGGCAATGGCCGCCGTGATCGTGGTGGTGGTGATGACCTGACATATTCGAGTTTGAGATTTGGAAAAGACTGACACTGATTTATTTTGGTTGTCTGATTGATAGAGTATTATTGATTTGTGGACTGCAGTGTGTCCGAGATTGTCAGGATGGTGGACCTTTTAACAAGAAAGAAAGAAAGATGGGTCAGCGTTGTTGTTCTTCGGCGAAAGGACCGTCTGGCTGCTGTAAAATGATGCGCATCATGATCCAGGTGACCGATTGCTTGGTTTATTCACCACCCAGGTACGCTCTACACCTGTAAGCATTTTATTAATTGTTGTGTCCCCCTGGTATAGTAGATTTACTGATACTAATGAATTCTACAGGTAACAGAAAGAAGGAATATGCATCTCTAACATTCTATAGAGGTCAACGCTGGCGGGTATAGTACAGGCAGGCATGTCGTCAATCACAATCACTAGTAGGTTCACCATCATATAAGCCCCATCAAGATACGCACTATGCCCTATAGCTCAATGGACCTGGTAGTAGTTCGGGGCGTATTCGAGAAGGTAGTTCTTCTCGATCTTAGTGATATCGCGGATGAAGGTCTTCTCGCCGGTCTGTAAGATCTCATGGAAGATGACCCAGTCGGCTTTCCGATTCTGTATAGCCCAGTTAGCAAATGACTGCAAATATAGAACATAACTCTGTATTGTCAACATACAAACATCAATGAACTCGGGTGAGCATGGAGAGTCAGGCCTCCGCTCACCGTCTTAAAGGTACCATCGGGTTGCATCTTCGCAGCGTGTGCGAAATAACCCGTAGTAAGACACCTACGAATCTGTTCCGCAAGCTTACTTGGGTCTTCTTGCCGAGACCGAGCGGAGAGAGTCTCGTCGACCTGAATCCCAAAACGCTCAAGATATCGCTTCAACTGGCCCCGAATGCTCACAGCCCGCTGCAAAGATCGAAAATTCAGAAGATTGTCACGGCACCATTTGGACTCCTTCTTTCCTTTGGTGATAAACGCTTGGTACACGTTAAGATACGTCAGATGATCGCCCTCTTCAACTGCGAACTTTCTCCGGTGGCTCTCCGATGACTTCCTGTCGCCTTCATGCTGAACCCATACGGTCCCTTGAAGACTCACCATGGCAGCAATAGAGAGGATCTCACTTAAGCAGTTGAAAGATGGCGCTGATAGCAGCACCTTTGCCATCATTGGATCGACTGCCAGCTCTGCCATGCGCATCCCATGGGGCTTTGTGAGTTTGGCATAGTCATCAACTGCTCCTAAAGAGTACAGCAGCTCAAATGCGCGAATAACAAGCTCTGTAGGAGGGGGAGTCAGGAAGTCGAATCGTACGATGTTGTCGATACCCAAAGCCTTGAGCTGCATGATCACAGGTGCTAGGTTCGACCGCTGGATCTCCGGAACGGTGGCCTCGGGGAGTTGCTCATAGGCCTGCTGCGTGTAGAGGCGGAAGCACTTCCCAGGTTTGGTACGCCCTGCTCGGCCAGCACGCTGAACAGCCGCTGCCTTTGATATGGGCACTGCGGTCAATGTCTCTATGCCAGTCTGCGGGTTATAAGCTCTTAATTTGGCGAAACCGCAATCAATGACATACACAATCCCGTTAATAGTAACAGATGCTTCGGCGATGTTGGTCGACACGATGACCTTGCGGGTGTTTTCTGGTGTCGGTTCAAACACGTACATTTGCTGGTCTGTTGTGAGGCCAGAGTAAAGGGGCAACGGAAGTATACTATGCGCCTTGGGATGCAGCGTTGCGGCACGTTCAGCGATCATCTGCACCGTGGTATCAATCTCCTCTCGGCCAGTCAAAAACACCAAAATATCACCTTCCGCCTCTTGAAGATGGATGTCAAACACGGTTTTGACTGCGCGTTCGACATAGTCTTCTGCAGGGTTCTCGAGAAAGAGCATGTCCACCGGATACATGCGACCTTCTAGACTGATGATCCTTCCCACCTTGCCGCCAGTTTCACCGGATTCCGGACTGCTGTCAAACTCCTCACCGGCGAAGAAACGCAGAAAGTCTTCAGCTTGCAAGGTTGCACTACTGACCACAATCCTAAGCTCCGGCCGTCGTTTCATGATCTTTTTCAGGATACCCAGGAGGATATCAGTACTGAGGGACCGCTCATGAGCTTCATCCACCATGATTACAGAGTACCTTGACAGCAGAGGATCTACGAGTGCCTCCCTAAGTAACATTCCATCTGTAAGGAACTTGATCCTAGTGGAAGCCGAGGTCAAGTCCTCAAAACGAATTGAGTAGCCCACCTCTTCGCCGAGCTTGCAGCGCATTTCCTCAGCTACTCTAGCGGCCACCGTGGTAGCGGCCACCCGACGTGGCTTGGAAATGTTAGCTTCTCTTTTTGCATTCGAGTTGATCTGAAGGAAAACCATACCTGTGTCACGGCTATGGCCTTCCCATCTGCACACCATCCTGCTTGGTCGAGATACTGGGGTAGTTGGGTTGTTTTCCCACTTCCTGTTTGTCCAACGACAATGGTCACCGGATATGTTTCAACCAGATACAACAAGCTCTGCTTATGTCTTGCGATTGGAAGCAATGCGGCCGGCTTGTATAGAGCCGGGATAAAACTGGTGGACAGATCCAGCTCGGAAGCCATTGCGATTGGGCCTTGAATGATAATGGACCTAGGAGGTGATTTGCAGCACCGGTTCCAAGCAGGGGCAAGCTATTATTGCGCTAGAAAACCCCAGGTAAGCATATTGAAATCGCAATTTCCGTGTCAGCTGCGCAAGCCTTGCACTGCCAGAATTGAATCCAGATTCTACTTTGACGAAGTAGATATTGTTGGAGCAGCTGCAGCAGTGCTTACCTAAGCACCGGGACCATCACGTGGCGCAACGTCACTCCGCGGGCATCGGAAGTGCGAAGGGGGCTGAGAGGCTCCGAAGCTCCAATCGCATCATCCCCAGCTTGCTTTCTGCCTGTTGGGCAAATTTCCTGGTCGCATAAATACCTCCAAGGCCTGCGAAAGCTTGGCACTCTTCTCCACCTTCTAGACAGCAAGTTTGCAATATTCTAACGCTGCCTAAGTTGCTCTCACGATGTCGGAAGAAGACAAGACTGTAGGTTGTCCTCTATATCCCGCTCCTTATACCTCATGCCCGGCCACTCACTCGCAGCCAGACTCCCAATAAACTCTCCACTGGACCACTTAGTCCCAAACCCGAGTCGCCGACTACTGCGCGCCCTCTCGATTTTGATGATGAACCCCAGGAAACCGGTGTCACCGCAGCGCCGTCAACAGCCCCTACTCAGCAAGGCGCTGCGGAAGCTGCCCCGCCTAAGCCACCCCGCCCATTGAGCCCCCGTCAACAGGCCGAGAATACTCTCAAGGAAGCATTCCCCTCTATTGAGGCATCGGTGATCAAGGCAGTGTTGGTGGCCAGTAACTGGGATGTGGAACGGTCATTCCATGCTTTGCTTAGTACGTGTGGATTGCGACGGACAGTACTGCTATGCGCGGTCACTAACAAGTCCCTTTAGGCATGACGGATCCCAGCGCTGCCGAACAAGATGCGCCGCCCCCCAAGCCACCACGCCCAACTGCTGCGCAGAGGCAGCTAGAAGCGGATGAGATGTATGCCCGTCAGCTGGCCGAGCACTACAACCGTCCTGCGCGCCAACCCCGTTGGGACAACGAGTACCCACAGCAGCGGCCGCGAAGGGGAAGCGATGGATCGGAGGAGAAAGAATACAGCTTTTTTGATGGTCGGTGATATGGATCTTTACTACGTTATCCTGGTCGCTAACAGCTGGCCTGTATAGATGATCTCCCAGTGATCCGCGAGAACCTTCGCAAAGGATTCTTAGATACCCAGACGAAGGTCAACTCGTGGGTCCAGAACCTGAAGAAACGCCTCGACGGCGAACCCGAGGCCGGCCCTTCTGGTCAAGGCCAGCCTGAAGAGAACTATGGTAGACCTAGACGGAGCGGAGACCTAGGTCGTCGAAGCGGCGATCGCGAACGCTACGATGCCGATCATCGCATTCTGAACGACGACTTTGCCTCACTTGAACTGAGAGATGCGGAAGGTACGTTGACCCTGAACTTTCCCTAATTCTGCAGTACATCCACATTCGAATGCTGACCTCCGTTCGCAGCTCCTCCCCCGCGCCCCCCAAGGCCCCTCGCCAACCCCGACCTGTTCAAATCCTCATCACCTTCCCCTGATCGACGCAAGGTCTCTTTCCAGGAGGGACCGCCTACTGAAATTGACAACCTCTACGATGCCTCTGAGCCTGTCAGACGTACGTCCCCCGCGACAGGCAAGTCGAGCAAGTGGCAGCCTCTGTCGACTGTTGACCCTTCGCCCGTCGGGGAGCATGACCCATTCAGTCTTGGCGACAGTGATGATGAGAAAGAAAAGGAAGTCAAGGCCAAGGAGCAGAGCACGACCGAAGCTGGGCCGGCCAGCGAAGCGTCGAAAGACAGCAGCAGCAAGGCCGAGAATGCTGGCAAGTCGTAGGGCTTGTTCAGTAATCGATTAATAATTATGAGAATTTCCTTTTTTGCCTCCTCCCCGACACATGCCGTTTCATCCCTAGCACCACCTGTCTGCTACATGTACTCTTCATACCATTACCCTGATAATGGCCATATGGCCGACGTTAATGATACCAAAGACTGCACTAGTGGGAAGTCCCAGAGACCGGTCCATCCCTAACGAGGACTATGAATACGACGAATATTACCACAATTAGTAGTAGACCGCTCAGTCATGTCCATCATACTCCATTCTAATTAAGAGAATAAACGGGTATCACAAGGAAAAACCAACCCAAACAGAAAGAAGCAGAAAACGCCATAGATACCTAAAATAGTCATACTAAACACATCCCACAACCCCAAATTAGATTCTTAACAGCCATCTATCTCACTCCGGCAAACCCTGCTGCTGCTGCTGCTGCTCATTCGCAAACCCGCGCGGCACACCAGATTCTTTTCTTAGATCCTTAATGACCGCCTAATAGACAGCGTCAGCTTCCAGCACCCCCGAGACAAAGTAAACATATAATCACAAGATGATAGAAATGCAAGAACTTACAGCAAGAGCATCCGGATTGACACCATTCTCAATCAAGGACACACAAAGCGACAGCTCCGTGCGGTCTAAATTAGTGTTCTGGATGAAGTTCGGATATAGTTAGTCAATCAAGCAATCGATCAATCAGTTAACCCAAGTGTGCATTATGTGTCTTGTCAGATGAGATGATACCAGATCCAGTCTAGACCAGAAAGTCTGGTCTATTCCCGCCTGGCATGTTGGGGATAGGAAGTAGATGATAGCAAAAGCTAGAATATTCGACAGTAACAACAATGATTATGGAGTAAAAGGAAAATAAAACGCCAGGCAGAAGAATGAAAGGAAAAATCGATGGAGGGGGTGGTGGGTGTGGTGTCACGTACAAGAAGGGTGGAAATCTCGTGAAGAATGTCAATAACTTCGCGGGCGGCCTGGCGTTTGTCGTCGGCTTGGGAGGGCATTTTCGGGGAGGGAAAATGTAGTAAAGTCTTTTGTTTGGAAGTGAGGGTTGAGTGAGAGAGAGAGAAGGACGGGGAGATGAAACGATGGACAGAATGCTGGAAAGTGTATATCGGGGATTATAGGGTATAAGCTATAGATAGAAGTTGACTGGAGTTGTAGATTGTAAATAGTTAATTGAAGGAACCATTCCTATCCGGTCTTCAACTCAATATTACTCAAATACTGAGATGTAACGTCGTATTGTAAGTGTGGTACTGCGGTGACTAGCGTATTATGCACTATACCCAGATGGGACAGAGGAGTCTCTGTGATTGGTTTTTCCTTTAGTAGAAAACTTCCAGTTACTCTTAACAACTCGGGCAATTGAGCTGAATTGAAAGCCATTGGACCTTCGCACGACATTGGGCATCTGCTAAATCAGAAGAGAAATCTCTAGTGAACTTTCCTTCGTGCTCCGGGATAATTGTGGAACCTCCCCTGTCAACTCCCCATCTTCCAAACGATCGTGAATGTAGATCCTGGAGGGGTTCTCCGGAATGCCGCCAGCGGATCTGACTCCCAGTCTGATCATCTCAGACATCCATTCCTTGAAGAGAGACCAGGCCCTGGAGATTCTTGCCCAGATTTCACGCGTCGAGAAGAAGACCTTCCCCGCTAACGAGGCATTCAGTTTCGGTGAGGAACTCTGGCGCAAGAAGCCCAACACGAGGGTTCTGTATGTGACCCGTGCACCATCGGCTCCAGATGATGTCCGCCCAACCTTGCTGGCCTATGCCGTCTACGTCCGCCAGAAGGGAATAGCCCTACTGCACAAAGTTTGCGTGGGTGAAGCACATCGCCGCCAGGGTGTCGCGATGCGGCTCATGAACTATATTCGAGCTCGTCTACAGAGCGAGGGGTGTCAGCAGATCCAGCTATGGGTCGACAAAGCCCGCTCGCCCGCTAGATCTCTATACGTCCGCAATGGCTTCAAGGAGCGTGACGAGATCCCGGACTATTATGCGCCAGGGCGTACCGGGATCAAGATGGTTCTCGATCTTTAGCTGTAGCGTGGGCCCTGTACCCGCCCTGTCGCGCCTAAGCATGGCCTTCGGCCCCTCGATAGACAGGCCTGATCCCCCTACCCCTCCGCTTTACGCGGTGGAAAGGAGCCACAAGACTTCTCCTTGGTACTTTTTGTTCGAAACTAGGGTGGCTTTGCCTGTCAAATACTCTCCCTTAAGCCTTCGGGAAATACGAACGCTATTGAGAGGGAGGGGTTGGGCCGGCTATGCTCCTGTGTGGACTCCTGCAAGCCATCCCTTGCAGGCGCGTGCATTCGCAACGTGAGCTTGAACTCCCGCGCCGCGAACCATCCATCTCTAACCATTCCCATACTTCAGTGACGTCAAACATATCCAGGTATGGCTCTGTAGAAGGGGCCACACGCTTCGCGCCTCTCCTGTGCCCAATGGGCCCTTGGGCGCGGTGGCCCTTGGGGGCATACTCTTTGCCCTAAGGGCAGGCTGTTTCCGCCACTTTTGCTCTTCCAGCTGCCACCTTCTATCTTTGTCGTCTCTTTCTCTCTCACTTTCTTGTGAACTTCATATACACTCCTAGATCTTCAAGCTGTGCTTGGATGATACGTCTGGAAGATCTATAGGAACGTCTATCGAATACCTGCCAGGACCGTTCCACTTGCTTAGGAGATATGGCGCTCTTTGCGTTGGCTCTCCTCAGCATCCTGGTGACTGTTGTTGCAGGTCTGCAGGCCAGCTACCCTGTTAACGCGCAGCTACCTCCGGTAGCCCGGGTATCGAAGCCATTCGAATTTGTCTTCTCGCCGGGCACCTTTTCTGGCAGCGATGACAACACACAATACTCGCTTTCGAACGCGCCGTCATGGCTCGAAGTCGACAGCCAATCCCGCACGCTATCCGGAACACCGCAGAAAGATGATCAAGGATCACCGACGTTCGATCTTGTGGCCTCAGATGGCTCGGAGTCTGTGGACATGCAAGTCACGTTAATTGTAACAACCGATGATGGACCGCAACCGGGAAAGCCGCTGTTCTCACAGCTCGAAGACATGGGGGCAACCTCGGCCCCAGACACCATCCTCCTACACACTGGCGACTCTTTCTCATTATCCTTTGAGCCGGACACGTTCACCAACACGCGCCCGTCAACGGCCTACTATGGCACATCTCCAGACAATGCACCGCTACCCTCATGGATTGTTTTCGACCCAGCATCACTCAGCTTTTCTGGTACAACGCCAGGTAGTGGACCTCAAACATTCAGCTTCAATCTTATAGCCTCGGACGTGACTGGGTTCAGCGCAGCTACCATGACCTTTGAGATGACCATCAGTCCACATATCTTGGCGTTCAATCGGAGCACGCAGACATTTTTCCTCTCAAAAGGACGGCAGTTCACTAGTCCGCAGTTTGCCAGTAATCTCACCTTGGATGGACATGACACGACGAAGAGTGACTTGACCGACATTAAGGTGGATTCACCGGATTGGTTGTCCCTGGATGACGAGACCATCTCTCTGAGTGGCACGCCCCCTGCGGATGCCACCGATAACAATGTCACGATTACCGTGACGGATAAATATCAAGACGTAGCCACGCTGATTGTCAGTCTACAGTTCACTCAATTCTTTCGCAACGACCAGAATGTATGCGATGCTATCATCGGGCAGTTCTTTATGCTGGTCCTCGACGACTCTGTCTTGACCAACGATTCTGTCCAGGTAGATGTTGACTTAGGGCAAGATCTTTCCTGGCTTCACTATAACCGTGACAACAAGACTATATTCGGACAAGTTCCCTCAGATATCAGTCCGGGAAGCTATCATATCAACCTCACTGCCCGGGAGGGTACCGCAGAGGACACTCGGCAGTTAACTATCAAGGCGATGTCAGAAGGGACCACAGGCGGGCCAGGCACAATCAATTCTACGGCCTCCGATGCAAAGAATAGCATTCGCGGAGGCAAGGCCGGTATAATTGCTATTGCTGTCGTCGTCCCCTTCGTGTTTCTGAGCACTGCCTTGCTTCTATTCTGCTGCTGGCGGCACAAGCGTAAAGCGGCCGCAAAGAAATCTCAGGATGGACAGGAAGCCGAGAAAACGCTATCAACTCAGCCAGAAGGCGAAGGTATCACACATAGTCGGCCTTATGAGGAAACTTCCCAGGGCGAGCCCCCGAGGATTCTGAGGATCCCTTCACAATCATCGGAGCCTCCAAAACTGGAGCTACCATTGTGGCATGCGAGCCCGTCGAAAGGCAATGAGCAAGCACCAGACGCAGCCGGCAAAGAAAACACCCTCTCCGATCCTACGTTCGATTGGGGAGGTTTCGCTTCTCTCAAGGGACCCGAACCAGAAGAGGCCAAACCAGTGGAGGAAGCACCGCCACAGCCGAAACGCCTGTCTTTCCAGAACAGTCCCCCCTTACACCGACGAACGACCACCACTAGTTCTAGGAGACGAGAGCCCCTTCGGCCGATTCAGCCTAGGAGGTCCCTGAAGCGAAATTCTACCACCCGATCGCGTAGATATTCCAAACGGTCAAGTGGTATATCTACAGTGGCGTCCGGACTTCCAGTCCGACTCAGTGGTGCCGGACATGGGGCCGGTGGTTTCGGACCTCCAGGACATGGCGTGGTCCGTCTTTCCTGGCAAAACACACAGGCTTCGTTCGGAAGTGACGAGAGTGACGTAGGAAACCTAGCGCCGCTGTTTCCACGACCGCCACCTCGAACCAGAGAGAGTGGGGATTATTCCAGACGAATGAGCCTGCGAACAGTCGAGCCTGACGAATCGACCATTTCCGAAGCGGACTCACTAGAGGCCTTTCTTCACAGCCGCGCAAAGAGTCGGAATTCGTCCAACCCGCTCTTCGCAGGTCAATTTGGCCGTCGAGCATCATCAGGCTGCCGGGCTCTCGAAAGAGCTCGAAGCACAGCCAGTCGCGCCGACACAGTAGCCA